AAAGAATGGTCACGATGTTTAGTACAAAACAATCTTCTGTTTCACAACCTGCGACAAAAAGATCAAAGACGACTGAAAATGCTAGTAAAAAAGAAATAAACAACCCGACTCTCGTATTAGATTATAGAGAAAATTTATTGATACGTCTAATCAAAGACTTTCGTGCTCCTACACAAAAAAACCTGGCCGATTATCCACAAATGATACTATCTAACGTTTAGATGGGAAGACTCATTTTATTTTTTCTCATAAAAAACACAAAGACTGTATCGTGCATTCTAACCGGAACAATAAATAATAAAGAAGGGAGAAAAGAGAACATTTTATTGTGGTAAGAACCCCGGTCTTTATCCAGGGGAATGTTTTAAAAAAAAATATAATACTTTGAAAAATTATAAATAATTAAGGTATATAATATACTCAATATAATCGAAAAAATATCTGTTACACACTTTGCGCTGTTGCAATACAAACCACCTTTTTTTTATCTATTTGGTAAATGAATTAAAGAGTTATTGGTTAGTAAAATATATATATATTAAGGAGTGGAAAAGGTGAATAGTTTTAAAGAAAGACACCATGTCTTCCTTGCTTCGCAACAAGTTTTCATTTGTTTTTTTACTTTCGTGTATTCACCATTCCTTCTTATCGTTGTGCTATTTTAATGCTGGGAATGATCTCAGCAGTGATCACTTCCGTATTGTTTTGTCTCATGTAGTAGTGCTATTTCGAAACCACCATGTTTCCTTTTAGACAAAATCAACTGACATTTTTTTTGTCTAATCTTTCTGTATTCAGTGATAAAATGATGAACTGAAACCCTATTAAAATTAAAATCATAACAGAATTAATTTTCAAAAAGCTAAACACTATTCAAACATTATCGCTAAAACTTCTAAAAATGCCTGATATCGCGACTGAACCATGAGGGCAAAGAAACACAGAGGGAGTATAACGAAAAACATGATTAATCTTCGGATGATCCCAGCCATGTTGAGTCCTCTAACCTTCAAAAAAGCAGAGTTGAAAATAGGACAATGCTCAGGCAGACTTATAAGGGCTCATAGATATCCTGTGTATCGTTGATAACTTCCTCTGCACCTGCAATGAAGAAAGTATGTACACTGCTCAAAAAAAAAATGGGACAGTGCTATATCTCCCGTTCTACTGGGGCGATTCACGAAATTCAAATTGCGTTCTTCATGTCTCGAAAGCGCGACTTAGGATATATATTAGATTTATACATAGCACTATTCTAACATAGGTATTTTGACACAAAATCGGACTTTTTCTGAAATAACATACCAATTTTTTTACATATTTCGATTCTACGACTCAAATTATGCCAGAATACCAAGTTTTGTAAAAATCGTACGAGTAGTTTTTGAAATCTTAGCTCCTCAATGTTAATTGAATTTGGCAAATATTTATTTATATCTCTTTTTTTTATTAAACTTTTTTGATTTTTTTCTCTCACATTTCGAAATTTAGGTTCATTCCAAATAAAATTTACCCATTTTTTTGTTTTTTATTTTTTAAATTTCTATTTTTAAATAATTTTTATAAAATTTTTCGAAAAAAATTTTGAATTATAACCTATATAAAATTTTTACCATCATCTTAAAGTAAGTATATTTTTAAGCATATCTGCAAAAATTAGACTTTTTTATTCAAAATTTTCTAAGATATACACAAATTTACATATTTTCGCGTTTTGAAATTTGGCATCTTTTTTGAGCGATAATAACGCCAAATGTGGTCTATGGATTTTTGTTACACTGTATTGCCACAGCTTTTTTGACCTTAAATTTCAAGTACAATTTTACGGAGAATTAATTATATGACATTTTTTTTTCCCTCAATGATGCGTAATAAATATTATTAATACTATATGAAAAGCTATTTTTTAAATAAATAATTTTTTTTTTTTAAAGAGTAATTTTTTGTAAGAGTAAATTTTTTACCTTCGGCGCTTTATCGTCTGCTACTTTACTTCGTTTAAATCGAATTGTCTAAAACTGAGAATTTTCGTTGATGTTTATTTGAATTTTATGACATTAACTGCGCAATTTATTTCTAAACACAACTGATGCTTTTGAAGTGGCTGGTACTATCATCCATATTTTTAAATCACAGTATATTTTTATAGAAACATAAGATTTAGAAAAAATCATTTTTTATAAAAGTCAAATTATGATATATATATACAACCCTCTAGAGACTGAATTAATGGAATTTCAATGGTTATGTAGAAATGATTTGAAGCTACTTAATCGCTGGATAAGCAGCAGATTCCGTGGACAAGTAAGAATAATTATATAAACGACACCCAACATTCTGAATTCAATTAACAACGAGGATGCGATGTTTATTAAAATGAATTCAGGAAGTTTTAAAACATAAAAAATCAACTCATTTTTTATCCTAAAATGTAATTTTGTGTGTAGCGTATTTTCATTATTCTAATTTAAAATTCTAATTTAGAATGTAATTGTCAAGAACTGATTCCTAATCATCAGTAATATAATAAGTAATTATTACGGTTATTAATAAATCCTTCTTATAAAGTAATTGCAAATATTTCAAAAAGCTTTCTGTCTGAATGCCAATATTTTTTCTGTGCAAATATTTTTAATTTTATATTAATCAAGATTGCACACGATATTATTTATTTGAACTTCAATTCTTAACGTCAGTTCTAGTAGAAGTTACAAATCAATTATATTTAATTAAGGATTGGATTGGATTATTTAATTATGGCAAAGCACAAGAGGGCTATCTGCCTAAAGGGAGGGATGCCTTCGTGGAGGACTTTCTAAGGAAAACTGGCTCGTATACACGTTACAAATCGGGAAAACCACGAAAACACCCATGCAACCAGCCCGTTCGCGGGATTCGAACCTCGGACCGAACTACCAGTGATCAGCGTCTTTACCGCTCGGCCGTTTGTGGGCCTTTATGAAATGGAAGGCGATAACTTTATTTAAAATGATTGTCAGAAATACCAAAATGTTTCGAAAAGTTGGATACTTTTTAATATACTTTCAGAATGCTTAAAGAAAAAGAGAAGAAAAATAAATTTTTTCGTAAAATTTAGCATTTGTATTTTTTTTTTTTTAATTTAAAACCTTTCAATGTTATGATATTTGATTCTTGCGATTTCAAAAATAAAATATTTGACTAAAATATGAATAACATTTTAAGAAACCAAATGTAGGATAAAACTGTTTAAAGCAGTGTATGCAAGTCATCCTAAGTTAAAATGTCGGTTATACATCTCTCTTATTTATATATATCTTTTCTGAACGGAACATTGAAAGGCGTGTAAAACTGTGCTTTACTGTATTTTCTCTTTTAATATAGTATGCAGTTTTCAAACTCATCGTAGTCTGGGTTACAAAGTATTCTTCCGAAAGAAACGCAGTTCAAATAAATAAAATCAAATTCTGTAAAATTGATATTAATAAATATATTTAAAATGCTCAGTTCGAAGGAATAAATAGAAAATTTTAAAAACAATTATCTGAAGAGACAATGCAACACAAACAATTAAAATAAAAGTATAAAAATTTAAAAATTACCTAAAATAATAACTATAACGAAAAATATATATAAAGAAAACTATTTGAAAAAAAAAATAAACGCTGCACCTTTATTTACGCAGTTCGAATAGGTAAATAGAAATTTTTGAAACAGGTATTCGAAAAAAAAAACGTGCAACTTAAAAACAATTAAAATGAAATTCGAAAAAGAAAAAATTCCTTAAACTAATAAGTTATAATTAAAATATAATATAAAGAATATTATTTGGAAAAAAAGGAACGATGGTGACTTTTTTTCCTTTCACGGGAAAGGAAACTAGGTTGCCATATATTAAGAAGTTCACCAAGTGAAGTACTCTTGGCGCAAATTGACAAAAAAGTGCCAACATAAATTTGTAAATTTCTCCGTAAATTTCGCTCCAAATTTTACGAAATTTCATATTTAGGCGTAATTTGAGTCGTAGAATCGAAATATGTAAAAACATTGGTATGTTATTTCAGAAAAAGTCTGATTTTGTGTCAAAATACCTATGTTAGAATAGTGCTATATATAAATCTAATATATATCCTAAGTCGCGCTTTCGAGACATGAAGAACGCAATTTGAATTTTGTCAATCGGCCCAGTAGATCGGGAGATATAGGACTGTCCCTTTTTTTTTTTTTTTTTTTTTTTTTTTTTTGAGCAGTGTACATTATTGCTGAGACTTTGTTGCCGTACCCAGTGGCAACAGTTATAAATGGTTAGTCATCATCCTTCCTTTGCTGCAAGTGGCATTATTCAAAGTTTTTGAAGACCCGGCCTTTTGAATGAAAGATTGGTTCTCTGCTGTTCAATCGTAAGAATAGTTATTTCTCAGAAAAATGTGCAGTGTTACATAGTTTAAGCATTAACTGAGTTTAAAGAATTTGTTCTAACAATTCAAGGAATGTCATATGTTGATGCCTTGCGAAGAATTCGTCGTTACTGTGCAAACATGCGATTTATTGACTTAAAAATACAATTAACCTTAAGTAAAATTGCTAGTGAACCAGGAATGGTTTCAGTTTTCAAATCACAGGACCCTTTTCTTTTTTTTTTTTTTTTTTTTTTTTTTTTTTTTGGAGGCCATAATGATACTAGAAAGAGTAGGAAAAAAATTCTAGGCATCATATTTGATAAATTACTCGCACTTTCTTCCTATATCTAAGTTTGAAAAAAGTGCTGTCTCAAAACCTTAAATATTTTGGAAGTATTGATCAATACTTCTTGGGAAGCCGATTAATGCTCCGCATGTATAATCAGTTATTCCCTCTAGATTAGGGATGACCTTATTTTTTTCCTGTGGGCCCAGTCCGAGATATTACTGCCTCCCCCTATCAATTCCATTTTTTAATAAATAAATAAATGGAAACAAAACACACAATTACGGTAAAAATGTGATTTAAAGTATAAATAACTCGTACAAATGATTACTCACATTTTGAAAGAGAATGAACCTTTTTAATGTCCATCGCAATTTGGAATTTGTTCTTTGAACGCTTTGTAAGTATTGCACTCTGAATTGCAGTTAGTTATAACCATTGCCTTCACGGTATCATTCTTCAGCTGCGATTTTTCTCGTATTCACAGATTATTTATAATAGAAAACAACCTTTCAGTTGTTAATATATGTAAACAAAGTGAGAATTCGATAGCTTATGTAAGATGCAGACAAGGAATATGATTTCCATTGAAATAATTTAAAATTTGAGTTGAAAGCTTATCAGTGGCTGGCGTTTTTCTTCCATTAATTCCATTTTTGAAGTTTTTCAAATGTAATATTTCGTCGAATAATTCGTTTTCAGGCAAATATGTTTCCATGAAAACAATTGTTTTTTCTCCTTTTGGTCTGATCTATTGGGCATTTTAAATTAATCTATTTAAAATGAGTTATTTCCTCAAATCTCGTGCCCCATAACTCTCTATAAGAAACAATATTCGTACAAAAACTAATAACTTGATAATAAACGTTTCTGGTCATCTTACCACTTTCAATTATATTGTTTAAAATAATGTTTAAGCTTAATGATAGAAATGTAGAATCGATTCGTTCTTTAAATTTGAAAATAAGATCATTAATTACTTCGAAATTTCAACAATTTTAACTCGTCTTCCATTCTTTTTATTGAATTATAAAACAACTAGTGTTTGGAGGAATGCAAGCCAAAGTTCGGCTTATTTATTTAAAAGGAAATGTTTTAAAATTATCGGACACTTATCAATTCAAAGAAAATATGATTTTAGAGGATAAGTTGAAAGAAAATATGATTTAAGTAATTTTAACACTCTTCTGGCTGCAGGTAGTAGCGTTTGCCATCTTGTTTTCGATATCCTTAGTAATCGCATGTATTCTACCTCTGCGTGAGTACAAAATTTCTTCAGATTTTTACTTGAACCGTGTAAATATAAAAGTGACTTTCTTTTCTTTCCCGCTGGAGCAGCTGGCCCACTGGGTTAGGTTCTTTTCAGCCTGTTGGATCCAGTCGATGAAATTAAAAATAAATATTAACAAAGAGCTTAGTACTGTGTCCTCTCGGAATTAGCCACGCTAAACGAGGAAAATTGAAAGAAGGTACCTGGTGAAGACTAATGAGACTAAGGGAAATATTTTTCACTATTATGGTACATGTTAGGCATACAGATATTTTAAGGATATGGTATTGAGACTAAGGGGAACATTTTTCACTATTATGGTACATGTTAGGCATACAGATATTTTAAGGATATGGCATTGATTCCGGTACAGATGTAAAGATGAACAAATACATTACAAATTGTGAAATACATTAAATGAGTTCTGGATTAATCATAATATAAACATAGTTAAAAACAAAACACACACACACAAGATACTAAGCAAATTAACATATGTACAAAGCAGACTGCTGACGGTACGGTGTCCAAGGAAAGAAGTCACTCCAGGTTGTCAGCAATGGTAGTGCAATCTCTAATGCAGCTGAGCGCACATTTATTGTTAATTGTCTTCTTGAACCATGCCGGCATATTGATTACAGCTGGTCTTTTCAAATGTGAATTCGCTGTGCGCGGGCAATCATCCAGATAGTGATCTAGGTCACCAGTACTGCCACAAATACATTGATCGCTGTCTCTTAGGCGAAATTTGTGATGATAGGACATATATATGCCTTGCCTTGTCAGATACTGTGTGAGGTGCGAAGAGCTGCTATTTAAATTCTGGTTTACTTTTCGTTGAAAATTGTACAATCTTCTGCCTGTAGTGCCCGACTCCCAGTAATTTTGCCAGTGTTTCATTAATTCACATTTTAGAGTGCTGTCCAGATATATCGCACTAATGCTACTCACATGGGGTTTATTAGATGTGCTTTTCGCCATCATATCCGCTGCTTTACTTCCTTTAATCCCCGTATAGGCTGGAAACCATTGCAGCTTGTCTCAGACTTTCAGGAATCGAAATTAATAGTTTTCGTATGTTTCTGACAATGGAATGTCTACTACAGGCGCCTTGGATGGCTTGTAAGCTTGACATTGAGTTTGTAAATTACTTTAGAACTTCCATTGGTAGCAGTAAAGCCCAGAGCTGCTTTTAGGGCTGTAAGTTCTGCCTGAAACACTGAGTTACTGGGATGAAGCTCCTTAGGCCAGGAATGGATTATGAGGTCACCGACCATTGCACACTAGGCACTGGCAGTCCCGAGCTCTTCTTTGGAGCCATTACTATAGACGGCTGAGGATTGTAATGCACATGGAGGATTACAGCTTGCTTTTCTATTGATGTCTGCAGGCTGGCAAGGAGAGTGGGCAATGCTGTTCTCGTTGTCCGAGGATACATAAGTCTTACTCCAAATAGTAACGCCTTGTTTTAGTCTGATCGCTCTATCCACACCAATCTCACTCTGTACTATCAAGTGCAGGGGCGAGAGCCCTGCCAATACAGTTGTTGGAGAGGTACGGAATCCTCTGCAGATGCTCAGAAAAAATGGTCTTTGCTCCGAGTTCAATGCTTGTTGCATGTTAACCGTGACATTGACGCCCCATATGGAGATGCCATGAAGAGCTTTGCTCTCATCGACTGTAGCATAGAATACTTGAGCATCTGCGAGAAGACACCACAGCTAGCAGCAGCTGTTCTCCGCGTTGTGTTAGACAGTTTAATGCAGCCTTTCTTTAAGATCCTTTATGTGAGGGAACCAGGAGAATCTGTCGTCTATAATCACATTCCAACTAGCGGAAATTTCTCATGAATTGTATATTTCTGCCATATAGGTTTACGCACGGGGGTACACTCGTGCTTTTTTTCCCCTGCATTCGTTTTAATCAGCATTCGTTTTGTTTTTGCTCTTGAAATTTTGAGCTTATGTTCACTGGCCCAGCCGACTACTTTGTCTAACGTTTTTTGGGAATTTACTTCGTAACTTTTACGACTGTGTCCGTTTGAAATAAGCAAGGAGTCGTCAGAATACGCTATTATTTCTGATGTTTCATCATCATCAAACAGGTTGAGCGCTTTGTCTGCTACCAGGTTCCACAGAAGTGGACCTAGGAAGGAGCCTTGCAGGCAGCTTTTGGTCAGCTTTTGCATGTGGATGCCTCCGTTCGTTGTAGCTTGAATTCGTGTTTCACTCAGGTAGCTGTAGATAAAATCAAATGAAGTTTTGAATCAATTGATATCTTTGAGACATTTCAAAATGTCATGCCACCACAACGAATCGAAGGCACCTTGAATGTCTATGCCGATGACAAAAGTGTGCAGTTTATTCTGCTTGTTTCTAAGTACCGGGTTCCGTAAGTGATTTAGTGCGTGATCCACTGACTTCCCTGCTATAAAACCATATTGCCTAAAATTAGTGAGTTTATTAGCATGAATGTAAAAATAACAAACTCACTAATTTTAGGCAATATGAAGAAAATTATCGAAAAGGAAAAATTCTCGAAAGAGGAAAAATTCTCAAAGTACTATTCTTTCGAGAATTTTTCTGGAAGCAGGCAGATAGGCCTATAAGAGGCAGCCTCGTTTTGATCTTTATTTCCCTTCAGGAAGAGAGCAACTTCTGCTGTTTTTGTGCCCTCTGGAAAGTGGCGAGTTCTCCAGTACGCCTGAAAATTGGAGAAACGTATTGCCGGATACGTGTTATGCATAGCTCTTAGAATGCCGTTATCAAGCCCATCCGCACCTGAGGTTTTACTCGGATTGAGCTTTTTGATTACGTCATTCAGTTCCTTTCTTGTTGGAAGAGGCTCAGAATCAGCAATCGTCGAAGTATAATATTGTTCAATACTAGTTCGTATTTCCTTCTGTGATGTTCTGTCTTTATAGGGATTGTGGTGTAGTGTTAATGTTTCAACGGTGTGGTGTTGAACTCCAATGAAAACGCTAATGATGCCCAAAAAATGGCTACTTACAATCAACAAGAGAAAAACCTAAATCTTTTTCTTAAAAAATCAAATTCTATACATTTTACCTGCGAGAGCAATACGTGGCTCTCGAGCCTGGGTTTTTAATATTGCCAACAATTTAATTATTTTAATAACAACTATTTTAACAACTATTGAAAACATATTTGGAAGTTAAACAATAATAATTTTCAGCTTATGCTCTCGAGACATCCTTGTCCATTTTAATCTTCAGTTTCTCCTTCCTTTATGCGACCTTATCACAACTCCTCCCCTCATAAAGGAATTTTTCTTGACTATGGAAGGAAAAATTATAAATACTTTTCACTGCTTTCAAAACACAAGTGGTAACCATTTAAGTGATAACAGAGAAGCCAGTTACATTACCCTGCACTTATTTCTAGATAACATAAACTCATAAATACAACAAAAATAATTTAAACTACTCCTAATTTCTGCCCCATAAAAAGAACATTCCTCAAATTTTAAAAAATGCTAATACTTAAGATAAAACATTCAATTCTAACTTTTTTTTTTTTTTTTTTTTTTTTTTTTTATGAAACACACAATGCAAACAATTTTGAATCTACACAAATATAACTCCAAAACGCTACAAAAATCATTTTCAAGAAAATGGGGTCAAAATCAAAAAGAATGGCGTAAAAAGAAAGAAAGGTTTTGTATCAATGGAATAAAAACTTGAGATAATCAAGATAGGGAACAAGAGAAAGACACTGCAGAAGGTAGCTGATAACTTTGGCATTAGACGGGTAACAGTAAGAGACTGGGAAAGGGAACTAGGTGAGAGGAAAAATGGTATGCATCAAGAGTTAAAGAACGTGCATTAAAGGAGAGAAAAACTATTTACTCAGAAAGAGTGTTTTGTTGCTAGATAATGCGCTCTAATGCAGAAGAACTTCAAGGTGGTGAAATCGTCAATGCTTTTGCTACCTCCAGCAGTGTATTTGCCATATGCCAACCTATTTATCAGGGCGTTTTAGAAGCGATAAAAAAGAAAGGAGGAACTACTCTCCACAGTGGGAGAAGCTGGCTGAAGGAAAACAAGACATGATTAAAAAATTGAGATGCTTTAATGTAAAGAATTTAGTTTGTTAGACTGCAAGGGCCTGGACTGACCACAAATACCAAATCATTGAAGAAGTTACTAGGCGAAGATAAAAGTATGAAAACGGAAAGTACAGGTGAAACCGAAGAAACTATTCTATCTTTTAAATGCAACATTATCTCTTTTATCCCTGGATGTGAAGATGCACTTTTGTAATAAATCCGAAGTTAGATAAAGGATAATGATCAATATGAAATAACTGATCAAGAAATTGTCGCTTTTGTCAATTGCCATGAAAGCAAAATTGAAGATTAAGATGAAGTGGGAACATTTGAGCCTCGCAAAATTTCACATAACAACGGAAATAAATCTGTA